AAATCAAACCAAGTCAGAGTCTGCGTTGATTTTTCGACAGGGTTGAACTCGGTAATTAAGGACTACCATTACCCGTTACCGAGTCTGGAGGAGATTTTTAACAAGCTAAATGGTGGAGTTATATTTTCAAAAATTGACTTATCAGATGCCTATCCCCAAATTCCCGTCGAAGAGGAATGTTCGAAGTTACTAGGGATAAACACGCATAGAGGGTTATTCAAGTACAACAGGCTTCCTTTTGGTATTAAAGTGGCACCAGCCATTTTTCAACTATATGTAAATCAACGATACCCGTGAGGCTTAAACAGAAATATTCGTAGAAATTGAGAACAGTGATACTTATATTATTTCAACATCATGGACTTTACATGTACATGAAAGTATATACCGATTGTGCCATATGATTATTCGTTTTCTTTATATGTTATTTATATAAATATATGTATATATATATATATATATGTGTGTGTGTGTGTGTGTGTGTGTGTGTGTGTGTGTGTGTGTGTGTGTGTGTGTGTAAATCAACGTTACCTGTGAGGCTTAAACAGAAATATTCGTAGAAATTGAGAACAGTGATACTTATATCATTTCAATATCATGGATTTTACATGTACATGAAAGTATATACTGATTGTGCCATATGATTATTCGTTTTCTATATATGTTATTTATATATATATATATATGTGTGTGTGTGTGTGTGTGTGTGTGTGTGTGTGTGTGTGTGTGTGTGTGTGTGTGTGTGTGTAAATCAACGATACTTGTGAGTCTTAAACAGAAATATTCTTAGAAATTGAGAACAATGATACTTATATTATTTCAATATCCTGGATTTTACATGTACATGAATGGCGTTATGCTTTGTAAATAATTGTGCGCACTTGTTTTAGCAGTTCTACAGGATTTCCTAAAAAAAACTATTCTCTAAACCAACATTAGCAGGTACAACTGCATTGGTTAAACTTTCACAATCACGAATCTCATAGAGGTTTCCTGAATTTCTCGATATTTAATTTTCTACATACAGCGTATGGAAGCTCGTGCGATACCCTGGCCTCGTCAGCCGCCAACCAGGGAAGGTAACATTTTTGTTATGGTAATTTGCCCATGCACTCATGGACTCTCCAACTTATAAATAGGAGCAGTTACTGCCTTTTGGAGGGTGAAGTTTCCAGCAGTCAGCTCTGACAGTCGGACCGAATATTCTTGCTGTAACACAAAAAAAAGACCGCCTTGCCAATACCTCATAAATTATAGACGGTTTCGTTTTGATCGCTAGGAAAAACGGAAAAAACATAACAGAGACGTTGTTTGATTTCAGTAAGAAAAAGATAGAAAGAAAAGAAAATTCAAACAGGAAATATGTTAAATTTACTACTAGTAAATATTAAATCTGTATCGTTTTCGTCTTTACTTTAAATCTTTTTATTTGTACCCCCTTACTTCTTTAAATGACGACCAGCATTCCTATTTATGATTGTTACGCTTGTTAAGCTCAAATATTTTTAGATGTGATAGGAGAATTTCTACGGATATTTCATTGTCGTAGAACTGCTAGTTTATTTCATCATAAAATGAAAATAGGAAAACCGAAGATTTTTCACGGGTATTTCAAATAAATATTAAATATCTTTTTAGCGTTTATTTTGCGTTATGGTAATTTACCCACGCACGTATGGACTCTCCCAGCTATAAATAAGATCAGGTACTGCCTTTTGGAGAGGGTAGTTTTCAGTAGTCAGCTCTCAGAGTTGAGTCGAACATTCTTGCTGTAACACTCTTGTTTGTATATGTTTTTATTACTGTTTTTGTTAATAGATTTGTTTAACTTAATTCCTCTCTTTGTGTCTTTATTTCTGACCCCACAACAATTTGTAAATGTATCGGTAATTAATGTGTTATAAAAGTTTTTGATTTTTCAATTTCAAAATGGCGCGCATTCTATGAAAATATTGAAAGTTTACTAAATTTTCTATATTCAGTTTAGGTGAGGTGAATATTAAGCCCAGAATCTCGTATTTGTCAGGAGAGTTTTGTTTAAAAAAAGGGATACACATTTTAGTTCACTTTAAAATAACTGTATTTCTGCAGATATGCAAGATTTTTATTCGATGCTTTCTCAGAAAGTTAAATGACTTAGGAGTCTGGGGAGTTGGCCTAAACGGTGATAAAGCAGCCAAAATCAAAATTGGGCCCCAAAAGAGGTCGATGGATGCATCGACATAAACAAGGAATTAAACTAAGCCGAAATCAACAGAACCAGGTAACAGGAAGCCCAACCTACAATGGAAAAGGTACAATCCATCACAATGTCACAAAAAGAAGATTGAACGTTCAAAAAAGACCAGAAACCACATACCTTCGATATAGCTGATATAAATTTAACAGAGTCTATAAATGACCTAATAATTATTCTACGAATGACATAAAAATTAGTCTCGTATTCTTGGATCCATGCGTCCGGATATTTATAGCTAGGATCCACGATTCCACGTACAATAAGTGTTGTAGCATACCTCCAGATTATAACTGGTATGTCACCATTCACATAAATACAGTAGTAAATACTGTATGTTGGTCTACAGTTGGAGATTCATTGATTCACTTCTAGCAGTTGGCTACTACTTCTAAGCGCCGCTGGCGAATCTTATATGTGTTGTTCTTTTTCTAACTATTATCGTTCATTACCAACTTTCGTGTGATTATTCTATTCAGTAACCTTTCCAAGGTTACAACACTAAGTCAACTCATCCTCATTCCATTAATATTCCATTAGTAAGGAGTAAGTTCAATTCATTTCTTTCCTGGAACTGTTGCCATGTGGTACGAACACCCGGATGGAAGCTTTCCTCATCATTGCAATGTTAACCGCTTCAAATCAAGGGTAAAACGTTATCTGTCCTACATATCCTCATAATACGCATCCCTTGCGCTCTCCGTGTACGCCCCTTAAAATATACTTGAGTGAATAATAGCAAAAATGAATTAAGTAATTAATCAATTAACATCTACCAAAAGGTTTATAAAATACAATGTGCTACTCGACCGGAATCGAACTAGTATTTTGTATCCTGGGTAACTACCTTGAAGACAGATATTCATTAGGGCGAATTTACGAGAATAAAGGTTCGATTCCTGTTTAGATGTAAATTTTCTTTAATAACACTTTAGATCTCTATGACAGTAGATATTAAATTTCTCTGATCTTAAAAACAAGAATGTCTTCTAAAACATACGTACCGACTAATTATAACATTAATAGTAAGAAAGAAATATTATCGAATAACAAAAAAAAACATTGTTTTATAAGTTTAACTATAATGAGTTTAAAGACGATATAAAAAATTGACGAAGAGAATAGACTGAATTTTATTGATGATGATCGAATGATCCATACTTGAATAGTATCGAAAACTCCAGTTTAACTTTTGCCTGATTAATTTTTTTAATCATTTCACCCCAAGCAAGGCAATAAAGCCACTAAAACGCAAGGGCTTACTGAATGTGAAAACATTGTTAAGAAGAGAAAACAATAGAACAGGAATTAAAAGACAAATGATAACGATTGACATTGCATTTAAACTTTTGAAGATCAAAATAGACTGTGAAGCAAGAAGCCAGAAGAGAGTTCAACAAGTGAGAAGTGCGAGAGAAGGAACTGTTAGCATAGAACTTACGGTTACATTTAGACATTTCAACTGTAAAATGATTAGGTCTTGACTCCAATCTGGTACTGCGCTTTAATTCATAAAGTCTAAGTACCAAAGAAGCTAGTTCAACAAAACAATTACGATAGAAGTGCGAATTCGACGTATGAGGGTCAAGCAGATCAGTTCTCAGGAAACCGACAGCCTGACAACAGCACATGAGATTTGATTATAGTAGTCAAGGTTTCGTGCAGGACCATCCACACTTTTTGAAGGGCTGAATACAGAGACCTGGTGCACTAAGTGCCACAAGGTCCTCAAACGAACATCCACAGGTTTTGAATTCAGAGTTGTCCTTCTCCTAGACCAGTTGCCATCCAAGGCTATAGAACCAGTCTGTCTTGCTATTTACCCATATATGGAGGGAGAAGAAGAGGATTCACACCTTTCCAACGGTATTAGCACGTAAATGAATATAATGAATTCGACTGGAATTCGAACTCGGCTCTCCGATTCCTCAATCCAAGCCGATATCCATTACTCCACCGTGCCTCAAGTATCAAAACAGGAAAGCTACGGTGGGAAAGAGGCTTAAGCCGACATGTCAGTAAAGCATTTATGTTTACATTTCAACAATTATGTCTACATTTCATAAATAAAGTAGAAGGAAAGTTAGAATTTAAAAGGAATAATGTATATCTAATCATGTGTCAAAACAGGCACACATCAATATCTTCATTGTAACTATTTCTTTCAATGTACTAATATACATGTGTGTGTATGTATATGTCGATGTGTGTGAGAGTGTGAGTATGCGTAACTTCTAAGGAATTAATTGATTTCATTCAAATACACCAGCGTGTGTATTAGTTATAAAAAAATTAGTATATAAGAAAAGGAAATTGAACATAGAATAATCTATGCCAGGTTTAGTTTCGCCCAATACAGCAGGTTGCTGCAAAACATTAAACTGAAAACTCGAGTCATACTCCCGTCAGAGCGAGACTTTCATATGAATGTCATGGATGGTGCCAAACCCGTTCAGAACGACCGCTAGTTGATCAGTGGTTAAAATGGCTTTAAGCAAGTGAGGTCTGTGAGTCTTGGCGAAGACATTCCTTTTTTTTAACATTGTGGACTGGCGCTACATAATCACAAAGAACTGGACAAATAACAGAAACGACATCACCTGAGGATTAGCTACAGCAGCAATAACTCAAAATCGATAACGCATGTTACTCGAAGAGGGGGAATAAGGACATGAAAAATGAGATATAGATGGTTAAGAAAATGGATGATGAGGATGAAAAACGAAATGATTCATATTTCACTCAAATGGAAACTCCAACTCACCTTCGCCTGATTCATAATATGTCTTTGTTGTTAGAGTTGAGGATTTTATCGCTGTCACATTGTCCTTCATGAAGTGGAAAATTTGACAGTCTCCGCCATCATATCGCCAAACATTGCAGACGTACTTCTCCGCGCACAATTGGCCACATTGTCTTATATCATTCAGCTTCACCCTTTTAAATACCGGCTGAAAGCCACTCTGCATATAAATGTTGTATCCTCCCGTCAACATTTTGAATTCTCTGGGATAGCAGTCGGCAACCGTGTAAATGACACATTGCAGCAACGCAAAAATTATGTTTCCGATTATCTTAGCAGCTTCCATAGTCGAAACTGAGATAAGAGAATTAAGAAAAAAATATGTAAGAATTAAGAAAAAAGCATAAATATAAATACAAGGGGTGCTGAAAATCCTCTTCCCAAAATCTGATCAAATAATCTGACATCATATTTTAAAGTGTTTTAGCATACCTACTGACGATATGTCCCCATTCACATAAATCCAGTAGTAAATATTGTATGTTGGTCTGCAGTTGAAAATACATTGTGGAACTCACTTGACTCACTTCTAGTAGTTGATTACTACTACCCGCCGCTGGCGAATCTTATATGTGTTGTTCTTGTCCTAAGTATTATCATTCATTACCAACCTTCGTGTGATTATTCTATTCAGTAACTTTCCCTAGGTTACAACATAAGGGGTTTTTGTGTTGGCTGACAACTGCTCAGCAACACCCTCTCGTAAAAAAATGTTAGAATATTCTTTCTTTAAATTCAATGTCAAAACAACTTAAAATTGAATTTTTTTTTTTTGTATTTTTTCTAATAAAAGATAACATTACCGTGACTTTTATTTTATTTTGACCAAACAAAATACTTAACTATAAAAAGAACATACAACAGCATCATATTTTATTTTCGTCAATAAAACCACCATCTACCTTAATTACTGCCTTTCAATCTCTTGGTATTCTTTCCAAGAGTTTTTGAAAAGTAGATAGTAGACCATCCCAAGCATTCTTCAAGCACTAAAAAGCTCACTCTCACTCGTTGAGTTTTCTTTTCAAACTCTCCTATCCAATTCATTCGACACAATGTCAGTTAGAGCAAAGTCAGGACATTGAGGCGGTCAATTTATAATTTCCGACTCAGCGACACCCGCCTGTATTTAATCTTTAATCCGCAAAATATTCTTTCTTTTAATTCTATCTCAAAATGAGAAGTTCATCGCTGATCATTGATGTAACCTAGGGAAGGTTACTGAATAGAATAATCAAACGAAGGTTGGTAATGAACGATAATACTTAGGACAAGAACAACACATAAAAGATTCGCCAGTAGTAGTCAACTGCTAGAAGTGAGTCAAGCGAATTCCTCAATAAATCTTCAACTGCAGAATATCTACCAACCGCCCACGCGATCAGATGTGTCTCAAGGCCGAATTTAATGTGGGGTATCCGAGCCCGTAAGCTCAGCCAAAAATTCCTCGTAGACCCCGATAGCTGTTTTCCAAGACGACATTTTCCCCTTCAATATATCTTCGTCTGGTGATCCTCACTGCCCGAAGGCAGAAAGTTTGACAAACACAGCTGGAGACGAATATCTAACTGCAAGATATCTACCAACCGACCCTAGCGATCAGATGTGGCATAAGAAAGAATCTAATGTGGGGTATCCGAGACCGAAAGCTCGGCCAAAAATTCCTCGCAGGCCCTCGTATAAATCGGGGTCGGTTAACTGTTTCCCGAGACGAAACTCTACCCTTCAATATATCCTCGTCTGGGGATCCTCTCTGCTCTGAGGAAGAGAGTTTGACCAGCACAGCTGGAGACGAATCTTCAACTGCAGCATATTTACCAACCGCCCCACGCTGTCAGATGTGGCACAAGACCGAATTTAATGTGGGGTATCCAAACCCGTAGGCTCGGCCAAAATTTTTTTCCGTAGACACCGTATAAAACGCGGTCGGTTAGCTGTTTCCCGAGACCAGACTGCCCTTCGACATAGCCTCGTCTGGAGATCCTCTCTGTCCGGAAGTAGAGAGTTTGACCAGCACAGCTTGAGACGAATCTCCGACTGCAGACCAACATACAGTATTTGCTACTATATTTATGTGAATGGGGACATACCCAGTATCGTCCATAGGTATGCTACAAGCAGCATATTCCATCGTGAGTTATTCCGGTAAATTTCATCAATTAAAAAATACTGAAGCGCTGACTCGACGCCATAAAACACATTTCGATGTCTACGCATTTTATTACTTATTTCAAATATGCACCACGGTCTTAACGGTTAGTTCCTTTCGTGCCCTATAAAACATTAGCCTTCTTTTAAATTCATACTCAACGACGTCCTAATAACAACGTATGTGGATACAGTAGCTGTCTTCGCATGTATAGATAATATCAAGATAGTTCTTGGATACACGATTTTAGAATTCTGTTTTCCTTCTCCCAGTCTGGTTGTCTACCAAGTCGATAAGATTGCACTACTATTTTACCCATAGCTTGGAGGAGAAGAGATAGATCCATAACTTTTTCAAGGGTATTAGCACGTGTGAATATAATGATCTCGACCAGAAGTCGAACTCGGCTTTCTGATTCTTCCAGCCATTACACCACCGTGCCTCTAAGGATTATAACATTCTACAATTTTGTGACAAATCTCTAGAATATTAAGGTCGTCCTGGGTATGACGATAAACTACATCCGCGTCCTGGGTAAGACGATAAAACAGCAAGGCCTCTGATCTGGAGGTTTTGAGGAGCGTGGAATCACCTCTTAATTACTGGTTTTTCCAGGTCCACTCTGTTCCGGAGTGGTGGGACCTGTCAGGGTCCCAGCTATGGGCAAATAGTTAACCCACAAACTGGGGTCAAAACACTATGAAATTGTAAAAATATGTTTCTTTGTAAGAAAATTATTGCCAGCAATAAAGTTTTGAAGAAAAAATTATTACCAGCAATACATTATTACCAACTATACATTTTTTGAAAAGAAAAAAAAAATATTACCAGCAATACATTTTTGGAAAAATTATTACAGCAATAAAAATCTTGTCGGCATTTGATAACCCATTTAGGTTGATATACCGTAAAACAGGCCAAACCAAACCAAACCTAGAATATTAAAGAATGTAGCTCGTCATTGAAATAGTGATAGTGTATCGAGAGACTTGAAACGTTTCGTTTGTGGGGGAAGCGGTTGTAAGGTAGAAATTAATTAATCTCTCTATAGTGAAACACACCTATTCTATCGTTAATAGACTCTCCCACCTATAATAAGTAGGAGTAGTCAGTCGCTCAGTGAGTGTCAGTCAGTCGATGCTGGACGACCGTTAGTCGGATACTAAACTATCAGCGACTACAACTAGATTTCGCTGCGTCATTACCTATTATATCAAGTTCCTAACGTTTTGTACGTCGAACCTATTTTAGGACCGACTTAGTACAAATAGAAGCCTCCACTGTGAAACCACTCCATAACACTCTCACAAGGGTTTGTAGACGCTTTTGAACTCTACCAAGACAAGCAAAAGAAGATAGGGTAGATCAAGTCCAGATATGACAGCAATATTCGATTTTTAATTTGATTTGAGTCTTGTAAAGGTACAGTATTACAGATTAATTGATTGATTAGTTTCCTGACGGCTTATCAAACCATTACATGTTATTTAAAACCAGAAAATATTTTTTATTAGATTTTAAGATTTTTTTTAGATAATAATGTAATATGTCTTACTAATTAACCCCTGACTGGGGGAGAAGAGCTGGATTCATACATTTTTCAAGTGTATTCATACCTTTCCCAAGGGCATTTGCACGTAAGTAATATAAAAAAAAAACTGAACGGAAATTGGAACCCGACTTTCCAATTAACAATTCCAGCCATTGTCAATTATATCACTCGCACATCCAATTTTACAAAACCTGGTAATTCCCTTACGGGTCACCCATGATGCCTGGGAAAAGCTTTAGTTCCAATAAATGTTTAAGGTTTCTATGGATCGTTCGAGAAATGGAGAAACAAAATCATTGTTTCATATATTATACGACTATTGCTTTTGAAAAGGCTAGAGCAATATTCAAGTGGCGACTGTTAACAAACGTTACCAGAATATGAATAGACTCAAGCCAGTAAACAAAAGCGACAACAACTATAAACTCAACTAACGTTGAAGAGAAATACATTTGAGATAACAATTAAATCTTATCTTGTAGCATTAAAAATACGCAATGATAACATCCCAGTGGAACCAAAATGTCGATTTTCAAATATTATGTTTCCTTTTTCTTAAATAAATAAGGTAAATGCAAATAAAAATTGAATTCTTTTAAATCCTATCTTATTATATTAAAGATACAAAATGAAAACAGACCAGTAGAAACAATATGTCGCTTTTCAAATATTATTTCCTTTTGCTTAAATAAATAAGGAAAATGCAAATAAAAATTGAATCCTTTTAAATCCTATCTTATTATATTGAAAATACAAAATGAAAACAGACCAGTAGAAACAATATGTCGCTTTTCAAATATTATTTCCTTTTGCTTAAATAAATAAGGAAAATGCAAATAAAAATTGAATCCTTTTAAATCCTATCTTATTATATTGAAAATACAAAATGAAAACAGACCAGTAGAAACAAAATGTTGCTTTTCAAATATTGTTTCGTTGTGTTTAAATAAATTAGTAAAATTTAAATGAAAACTTAATACTTTTAAATCCTATTTTGTTACATTCGAAGATAACGAATGATAACAGCATAGGGGAAACAAAAGGTCGCTTTTCAAATATTATGTTTCCTTTTGTATAAATAAATGGGGAAAGTTTAAATAGAAACTGAATTCTTTTAAATCCAATCTATATGCATATAAACTACAAAATAATGACTCTCCAGTAGAAATAAAAAGCCACTTTTTAAATATTATGTTTCGTTTTATTTAAATAATTAATGAAAAAAACCTGAATTCTTTTACATTTATTTTACATTTATTTTACATTATATATTTACATTATATCATGTTATATTGAAAGTTAACAATGATAATAAATCAGTAGAAACAAAATGTCGCTTTTCAAATATTATATTTCGCTGTGTTTAAATAAATAAAGATATTGCAAATAAAAAATGAATTCTTTTAAATCCTATCTTGTTACATTGAAGGCACACTATGATGACAGACCAATACAATCAAAATGTCGCTTCTCAGATATTACGTTTCGTTGTGAATAATGAACGTGCAAATAAAAATTCAGTTTTCATATATGCAAGAAAAAAGCATAAGAATTATCAATTTTGAAATATTGCTTTTAAAGTAATTGAAGAACAAACCGAGAAGTCGTTTTTACTTGTAAATCAACCGTCAATTGTAACTCCGTGTATATCTACCAACAAAGAAATTTCTATTTTTGTATCAATGTATCTCCATACAATTAAAAGCTTACAAACCACTCGCAGTTTTTAAAGACCTTTATCTGCCCAGATATAAGTTATTTTTACTCATATATTATAATTTTTTACTCATATATTATAATTTTTTACTCATATATTATAATTTTTTACTCATATATTATAATTTTTTACTCATAAATAAACCTTACATCTATTTTTATCAGTGTATCTTTATAAGTTTAAATCTTACAAAATACTCGCAAATTTTGTTAATATTCATGTATTTCTGACAAAGATATTGATTGATTGATTCGTTTTTTTACGGCTTATCAACCTTTTTTATGTTATTGGTTGCCAGAAAATATTTTTATTGATATATGTCTTAGTAACTAACCCATCAATGAAGAAGTGAAGAGGTGGATTATGCTGCAACCTAAGGAAGGTTACTGAATAGAATAATCAAACGGAATTTGGTAATAAACGATAATACTCAGGATAAGAACAACGCATATAAGATTCGCCAGCAGCTAGTAAAAGAGTAGTCAACTGCTAGAAGTGAGTCAAGTGAATTCTACAATGAATCTTCAATTGCAGGATATCTACCAACCACCACCCCGCGGTCAAATGTGGCACAAAGCCGAATTTAATGTGGCGTATCCGAGCCCATAGGCTTGGCCAAAAATTATCCGTAGACAGCGTATAAAACGGGTTCGGGTAGCTGTTTCCCGAGACGAGACTCTGCCCTTCAACGTAGCCTGATCTACTCCGTCCGGAGGCAAATAGTTTGACCAGCATAGCTGGGGACAAATTTCCAAATGCCGGATATCTACCAACCGCCCCAGGCAGTCAGATTTAGCACAAGGCCGAATTTAATGTGGGCTATCCGAGTCCCTAGGGTCGGCCAAAATTTTCCCATAGAGCCTGTCTAAAACGGGGTCGGGTAGCTGTCTCCCAAGACGAGACACTGCCCTTCGACATAGCCTCGTTTGGGGATCCTCTCTGTCCGGAGGCAGAGAGTTTGACCAGCATAGCTTGAGTCGAATCTCCAACTGCAGACCAACATACAGTATTTATGCGTATGGGAAAATACCCATTATCGTCCGTACGTATTCTGCAACAGATTCATACCCTTCCCAAAGACTTTGCGCGTAAGAGAATATAAAAAACACAATATAACAAACATAACAAACATTGAAAAAGATGCCAGCTATTTTAATTCATGACAGCAAATTAAATTCTTTCATTTCATTTATAAACCACATAGAATCGTTTAAGTTACAGCATTTACGAAATGAATTAGTTAAAAATCTCACTTAGAAAAAAAAAAAGAAGAAATATTATTTTTCTGCAAGCATCCCACAAAGTGATCCATTGTATACAGTTTATATTGTATTGCTTAATATGAATATATGATATTTAAATATACATTTTTTCAAAAATAGTATTTTAAAACAAATGTTGAAAGAAACGTATTAAGGAAATCCTTTTACACTTACCCGGAAGATATTCCCACTTGATATAAAAATCGGATTAATAATAAGCAGTTCTGTTTGCCATTCAATAACTCTTGTGATCACGACATATAAAAATTGAATTCGAGTGCATTGTTGAAAAATGACAAAAAATGTAAACATCAAAATAGCATTCACTCTGATTAGTGTTGCTTTTTGTGTTGTCAATGGCTTCAGTCTCTTGCAACCCAACGCTACTTCATCGATTGTATCAACGAAGGTCGATTTCTTTTTCTTATTCATTATTATATGTGAGTTTCAGGCGTGATCCGATCACATAGTATCGATTCTATGAGGCAGGGAAAAGAACTTCAGGAGAACGCATGCCTATTCTTGTTGGCACAGTTTCTCGTTTCATGCAGCTTCTTTTTTTTGGTGGGGGGTGAGGGGAGGCACCTTGCATTTTTTTAAAAACACCATTAAATGTGATGATTTGGGTATTTTTTTAAAATCAAAGAAAACATTTCAGTAACTACCGTGTATTTGTTTTATTCTGACAAAATATAAGCAATTAAGTATGTGTTTATATTTCTGAGATGAGATATTATGTACACTATTTACATTATTCGGACTATTGTCCTCATCTTTGTCGCCATATTTATTACAACGTTTCGGCCCTTCAGTATCTGTCTATATTTCTGAGATGAGGTATTATGTACACTATTTACATTATTCGGACTATTGTCCTCATCTTTGTCGCCATATTTATTACAACATTTCAGCCCTTTAGTATCTGTCTATATTTCTGACATGAGGCATTATATACACTATTTACATTATTTGGACTATTGTCCTCACCTTTGTTACCATGTTTATCACAGCGTTTCAGCCCTTTAGTATTTGTCTATATTTCTGAGATGAGGTATTATGTACACTATTTACATTATTCGGACTATTGTCCTCATCTTTGTCGCCATATTTATTACAACGTTTCAGACTTTTAGTATCTGTGTATATTTCTGAGATGAGGTACTATGTAATTTATTTAAATTATTCAGACTATTGTCCTCATCTTTGTCACCATATTTATTACAACGTTTCAGCCCTTTAGTATCTGTCTATATTTCTGCGATGAGGTATTATGTACACTATTTACATTATTCGAACGAATCTTTGTCGCTATATTTATTACAACGTTGCGCCCGTGGTACGCTCCGGCCATCTTCAGGTGGTTGGAATGTCGAACTGAACCCTTTATTTCGCTTACTGTTCTAGACTGTTCTAGTTCCACGTGCCATGTCTAATGGATGTCAGTTATCAGTTATCTCCTGTTAATTCCCCTCACCAAGTTCTCCACCGCCTTAACCATGTGTCCTCAAGGACACATAGCACAGTGGATAAAGGCGTTAGTTAGATCCAGTGACAGGACCCAAAAAGTGAGTTCAATACTGCACTTAACTATAAAAAAAATTATCATACAACAGCATCATATTTTGTTTTCTTCAATAAAATCATTACCTGCCTTAATTACTGCTTTTCAATTTTTTGACATTCTTTCCAACAATTTTTGAGAAAAAGTAATCATAATTTCCCAAGCATTCTTCAAGTTCACTCTTACTCTTTGTATATTTTCTTAGACTTGAGGTAATTTTGGTATAATTTAGAAGAGTGTTTTGAATCATTATCTTGTTGAAAGGTGATGTTTTTTCTAATTATGTGTAAACTAGTTGATATAGCACTGTTCTTTTCTCATGATTCCCTTGATCTGAATCAAATCTCTATTACTCTCTCCTCAAAACATTCCCACACCATAACAGACCCACCTCCATGCTTAACTGTTGGAATCACACATCATTCGGTCTTTCTCCTGGCCTTCTTCTTACATATGAGTATACTCTCATCTTACTACCAAAAATTTCAAATTTGGCCTCCTCTATCTACAATATATTTTGCCACTCTTTCAATGTCTAGTTCTGCTTTTTTAAATTTTTTCTGCTTATTCACCTTCTGTAACAGGGGTTGTCTTGTAGGCCCTGATGATCTAAGTTGATTTTTTAAACTTCACTAACAGTGTATTTGCTTTTATTCTGACAAAAAAATATAAGCATTTAAGTATAAAAAAATTATCATTCAACAACATCATATTTTGTTTTTCATCAATAAAACCACCACCTGATTTACAAATTCTTGAACATCTTTCCAACAATTTTTGAAAAAAAAAATAGATGTTAAACTTTACCAAGAATTCTTCAAGCACTGAAAAAGCTCTCATTTATTGTGTATTTTCTTTGAACTCTCCTAATTCATTCCATTTTAATTAAATAAATGAGAGATAAGAAAGAGTTGAGACGGTCAAGTCAGAATTGTCAAAATGTTTTCTTTTTTTGATTCCAGGTAATTTTGACATAATTTTGAAGAACCTTTTGAATCGGCGTCTTCTTGAAAGTTGATTTTTTTGGTTGATGCGTAAACCAAATGATATAGCATGTGTTTTCAAAATCGAATGATATTGTTCCTTTTCATTATTCTCGTGACCAGAACCTCCAGCCTTCTACCCACCAAAACAACCCCTCACCATAAAAGGACCCACTACCATGTTTAACTGCTGAAACTACACATTCATCATTCAGTTTTTCACCCAATTTTCTTTTCATATACCCCCCACCTCTTACTACCAAAATGTTCAAATTTGGACTCATATGTCCATAATAAATTTTACTACTCTTTAATATCCAGTTCTGGTGGGGTTTTTTTACTCATAAAAGTCTTTTCTGCTTATTAATCTGCCGTAAGAAGTGTTTCTTGGTGGCTATGCATCCACTGAGCCCCGTTGATCCAAGTCGTTTTTCGCAATTGAGAGCGATACTGTCAAGAGGAATTAAGTTCAGCTGCCAACTCTGAAGCAGTTTTTCTTCTCTTTCTTTTGCCCCCAATAACCAAATGTTTATCTTCATTAGCAGTTCACACTTTTGATGCTCCAGCTCCTTTTCTATTAATATTTGCGCCATTTTATAACTGACTTTGTAACGAATATTTTACCCCATGTCTGTAAATCTTCGTGGCAATTTATCTTTGGGAGTAGTCTTTTATATTATTAAAATGTCAATTAGTGCTCTCACCTCAATGCTAAGTGTTATGGGATCTTACCAATAATAATAAAAATAATAATAATAATAATAATGGATTATTCCATACTTAATAAATACTGCGCCTCGGGAGTAGGCAAGAAGTGAGTCAGCCGTTCATTTTTGAACAGACTGATCGGTTCAACTCTCTGTCTCCGGACAGAGAGGAACCCGAAGGAGGCTAGGCTACGCCGAAGGGCGGAGTCTCCTTCGGGGAGGTAAATTGGCCCCGAACCCGTTTATACGGGTTCAAACGGGCATATTTTTGGGCCGAGCCCACGGGCTCGGGAATCCCACAATAAAAAAACCGACCTTGTGTCACATGGTTTCCCCAGTGGGGGAGACTCAATATCGTGAGTCAGCCGTTCATTTTTGAACAGACTGATCGGTTCAACTCTCTGTCTCCGGACAGAGAGAAACCGAAGGAGGCTACGCCGAAGGGCGGAGTCTCCTTCGGGAGGATTAATAAAATGGCCCCGAACCCGTTTATACGGGTTCAAACGGGCTATTTTTGGGCCGAGCCCACGGGCTCAGGAATAAAAATAAAAAACCGACCTTTGTCACATGGTTTCCCCAGTGGGGGAGACTCAATATCGTGAGTCAGCCGTTCATTTTGAACAGACTGCTCGGTTTAACTCTCTTCCTACGGGCGGGAGGAACCCGAAGGAGGCTACGCCGATGGGCGGAGTCTCCTTCGGGGAAATAAACTTTTGGCCCTGAAACCCGTTTATACGGGTTCAAATGAATAATTATATGTTGAACTATTTTTGGCCGGAGCCTAATGGCTTGGAATCCACCACGTTAAAAAGGCCTTGTGCCACATGACACCCTCGTGGGGGTGACTCAATATCGTGAGTCAGCCGTTCATTTTTGAACAGACTGATCGGTTCAACTCTCTGTCTCCGGACGGAGGAACCCGAAGGAGGCTACGCCGAAGGGCGGAAGTCTCCTTCGGGGAGGTAACTCCGACCCCGAACCCGTTTATACGGGTTCAAACGGGCATATTTTTGGGCCGAGCCCACGGGCTCGGGAATCCCACAATAAAAAACCGACCTTGTGTCACATGTTGCCCCAGTGGGGGGAGACTCAATATCGTGAGTCAGCCGTTCATTTTTGAACAGACTGATCGGTTCAACTCTCTGTCTCCGGACAGAGGAACCCGAAGGAGGCTACGCCGAAGGGCGGAGTCTCCTTCGGGGAGTTAAACCGGCCCTGAACCCGTTGATGCGGGTTCAAACGGGCATATTTTTGGGCCGAGCCCACGGGCTCGGGAAATGGATATATAACAAAAAAAACCGACCTTGTGTCACATGTTTAAAAAAGTGGGGGGAGACTCAATATCGTGAGTCAGTCGTTCACTTCTGAACCGACTGTTCGGTTGAACTCTTCCTACGGACGGGAGGAACCCGAAGGAGACTCCACTGAAGGGCGGAGTCTCCTTCGGGGAGGTAAACCGGCCCATCACCCGTTTATACGGGTTCAATGGGCTATTTTTTGGTCGAGCCTAATGGCTCGGAAAGCCCACGTTAAAAAGGCCTTGTGCCACATGACACCCTCGTCGGGGGGGGGTGACTGAATATCGTCAGTAGTTCAAGTCGAGTCAAGAGTCGAGTCAGAGGCAGTCCGAAACAGAGTCGCGTTCAGACAATTACTGCAAGACATTGGAATAGTGATACTGGTCGAGACTACATTGTTCTCTCTACTAAACCTGATTGTTCATACTAACACTTCTACTTCTCTGTATATATTCCTGTTTGTAATATATCTGTGTTATTCCATACCTGTGTTCGAGTTCTTCTTTATTGGTTCTACCTTGGACTATCACCATGGTACAAGGAACCAGACCATAACACTAAGATGCATTGATTTTCTCATATTTTGAAAATTACTTCAGAATGCAAAAAATACATTTAAAAAAATCCTGTCGTAATGGTAA